TAGCCACTGGTGTCCACACCTTCACGACCCGTGTGCTAACATACTGCCCTGCGGTCGGCTGCCAGGACCAACCACCATTTGTCCTGGACGTGCGTCAGGAAAGGAGGCGTCCTCTTCCTGTGTCCATGGAGGCCACCATTTGTGATGGGGCAGTGCGCTTGATGCTCGATGTGAAGTACTTGTGTAGTCACACACAGTGATGTACTTGCCCACAACAATTAGCTCTAAAATCAAGTTTCCATAACTTGTTTACTGTTTTGCAACATAGGAATATAAAAATACGCAGAACGCTTTGTACCTGCAGCACTGCAGCAGAGCCGTGCTACTGATAACTGACAAGCAACACTGTTTGAAATACTGGTTTTTCATGTCTCGTAATTTTGTTAAATGTTCAGCACGTATCATTCCAGGTACTTAACTGTAATCTAGACATTCCCATACAATGTTCTCTTGCTGCTTTTTTTGGCTAGAGCACTTTTTTTAGGAATTATCTAGAAAAAGTGCACACACAGCTTCTGTGTCTGAGTCATGAGGCTTTCATGATGTGTTAGAGAGAAATGAGTCATTTATTGTTTGGAGGAGGAGGCAGCTGTTATGTTTTCTAGTGAGAGAAGACCTCTGCGCTATTTTCTATAAGTGGAAAAAGTCAAATGAGCTCTCAGCTGTTGTTTTAGCAGCTGACTCTTACAGTAAAGTAACTGTGGTGTGAATGCAGTTGTGGTGTCTGTAGAACAGTTTTCAAGGTATTTATTTTAATGAAATACTGCCTATATGGAAAAGCAATCATTGCAATAAAGGTTTGTGATGTTACACCTCCCTGTAGATCTTTCATCCAAAGAGCTGTGATTTGATTCTGTTACTTCTAAAGAATATTTTATCCTAAAAATAAAATCATTCTCTATATGGGAAAAATCATTCTCTATATGGGCAAAATGCAGTGCTTCATCAAGGTACATTAATGAACTTAAAATTTAACATTTGGTTTGGATCTGTATCACCACCTTTAATAAAAATCTAAAAAAAATGTTCCCAGTCTTAAATTGTGAAACTTCAACAAATGCTTAATTTTCTAAATTGACATTCACTTCGCAAACTGCTTGTCCGATTTCAGGCTTGTTTAGTTAAAATTCAGGATTTTTAAAGTGTTTTTAAAGAACATGTCCATTCAGTAGTTACTGTGGTGGGTGATGTGTTTCACTCTCTGTCCTGTCTCTCCTGTGTCCTGGTTGACAGCAGTTAACACCGTTTCTAGTACAGTCAGATTTGAAAGGACTGGTGATGCCCACAGATTATCTCAAATGAAGAGTGGTGTTTAGTAAGGGGGGTGGAGACTTTAATTATTTTTGAAAGCAGAACTTTACCTGAATAATGTCTATTTTATGTCTAAACATCAGGGGTTTGCTAACAAGTAAATAAAACCAAGTGGATATTATGAAGAAGCTCAACATTAATTTCAGTGTTGTCACCAATGTCTGAAGAAACTGCAGGTGTGCTGTGTAACAAAATAATTTTAGAGCCTAGGCAATTGATGCAAAGTTCTGGACTTTTTAAATATGTTTATGACTGCAGCAATGAGATGTATTAAGCAACCCTGAAAACGTGAACCGTAATAGCAGCTGACAACTTGATTAATGATATTTCTATTTCAGAATATTTGGTAACGTGTATATTTACAGTCTTGCTAAACCCTGTCTTGCTGAGGGTCTGCTGCCCTTACTCGGGTCGTGTAATAATCTCATTGATTCAATGGAGAGGATGATGGCAAAACCTGACCATAATGACTCAACGCAACAGTTGCTTCTTTCAGTCTTTGACAGCTGCGAGAGCAACTCCTTTTTTCCAAACCATCCATCCTAAATTCCGACCTGTAAGAGCATGTACCTATATTTAGCTAGCAAGATTAAGTTGCAGAGGCTTCAGGCAGGGCAAAGCACATTGGTCTGCCTTTTTCACAGACAGACCTCTGGGCAGAAAACAGCTAAAGCCTTCTGCTCCCTCCCCTTTCCCGAGTATTTGCGAAATGGATTCCCAAAGGGAACTCACTGAAGAGCTCAGGCTTTACCAGTCCACCCTTCTTCAGGACGGCCTCAAGGAACTCCTCGAAGAGAAAAAGTTTATAGATTGCTCTCTAAAAGCTGGTGATAGAAGCCTGCCTTGCCACAGGTTGATTCTGTCGGCATGCAGCCCTTATTTTCGTGAGTATTTCTTATCAGAGCAAAATGAAGAGAAAAAGAAGGAGGTAGTTCTGGATAACGTTGACCCCAGCATCCTGGATATGATTGTCAGATACCTTTATTCAGCAAGTATTGATCTTAACGATTCCAACGTGCAAGATATTTTTGCTTTGGCCAGTCGCTTTCAGATCCCTTCTGTGTTCACCGTGTGCGTCTCCTATCTTCAGAAGAGGCTGGCGGTGGGGAACTGTCTGGCCATCCTCCGACTGGGCGTTCTGCTTGATTGCCCAAGACTTGCATTTTCCGCCCGTGATTTTGTCTCGGATCATTTTGTGCAGATCTGCAAGGAAGAGGACTTCATGCAGCTTGCCCCGCATGAACTTATCTCAGTCATTTCACCTGACAGCTTAAACGTAGAGAAGGAAGAACTGGTATTTGAAGCGGTAATGAGATGGGTGCGAACAGACAAGGAGAACAGAGTAAAGAGCCTGGGGGAAATTTTTGACTGCATACGCTTTCGTCTTATGCCAGAGAAATATTTCAAAGAACATGTTGAGAAGGATGATATAATTAAAAGCAACTCAGACCTTCAGAAAAAAGTAAAGATTATTAAGGATGCTTTTGCTGGAAAACTGCCTGACTCTAGCAAGAGTACGGAAAAGTCAACCAAGGGGGAGGTGAACGGTGATGTAGGAGATGAAGATTTACTGCCTGGCTACCTCAATGACCTTCCCAGGCATGGCATGTTTGTCAAAGACCTAATCCTTCTGGTTAATGACACTGCTGCGGTAGCGTATGATCCTCTTGAAAACGAATGCTACCTAGCAGCCCTGGCAGAGCAGATTCCCAGAAATCATTCCAGTATAGTCACCAAACAAAATCAGGTCTACATTGTTGGAGGACTGTATGTGGAAGAGGAGAACAAGGATCAGCCTTTCCAGTCGTACTTCTTCCAGGTATAAGCTTTATAATTGTTGGTGCAGTCATAGGTGGTCATGAGTTACAGAACAGCGTTCTGCCTCTGTGCAAGCGCCTTGTCTGCTCTCTCTGTGCGGTCGATGAAGTGTCTGCAGAGAGCTATTCCTGTCTCGGAGAGAGAAATGAAACCAGGGAACTTGCATCTTCTCTTTCGAGATCGAGCCCCTGGTGAGATCCCAGGAAAGGTTACAAGGATTAGTGTGTTATGTCTAGGCTCTGGCTTTCATTGATTAAAGCCCTGATTTTTCATGGTACAGATGCCTGAATTTAAGCCTAATAATACTTTTGGAAAATATCTCCTGTGAATTTCTGTTAACCGCCATGGAAGTCAAGCGCTCAACTGCTTCAGTTGGAAATATTTGGAAATATTTTTATGGCAGTAGTAATGTTCATCTTTTAAATGCCGCTTTTGTCACTAGAATTCCAGAAGTTCTTTTGTCACATCTACATTTGAAAACTGAAGGGCATTCTAAAATATGTAATCTAGAGGCAGAAGGTTGTTTTCTTGGCAGACTGTCAATGTCAGTACACTAAATAGCATGTTTCAACCATGAGTGTAATTTTATGTCTTTGTAAATCTGTATAAAGACAAGGCAGATTAATAAAAACTGTAACTTCCACAACATATTTCAGTAAAATAAGGAAAAATACAATTAGGCATGCTTACCCCATCAACTAATTCTGTTGGGTGTTTGCTACCTGGCTACGTGCTTTGGGTGACAGTTAAACTATCTCTGGATTAATTATGCAATACACTGCTAGCCAGGTCCTGTCTATAGGCAGGCCCATAAGAGTGAAAGTAGGTCCTGTTTCAGTATGAAATACAGCACAGTGATAAGCAGTGAGAGTATGTTAAAGCCTTCAGATATTATAAAATGCAAATATGGCGTTTATGTGACTATGGCTCTCTGTGATTTCACACACACTAAAGAAGTTGGTTTCAGGCATTTGTTATATCTATGGGAACTACAGAGGAAGTCTTAGTTTGCTGGAGAGTGATTAGCACTGTTTCATTTCCTTATGTAGGTGTAGGAACACTCATCACTGAAGTGCAAGATAGAACCAGTGTTGATGCCATAATGTGTACAATCCAGAACTGAATAGTGTAAATCTCAGGCTACTGGAAAGGGGCCTCTGAAAACTGAAGCTACAAGACCGATAGTAAAAATCCGTGACGTTTACAGAATCCTACTGTAATGTCTGCATCCATTTCCTGAAGTCCTGCTCTCTCGCTGTCATCTTTAGGCTTGCTGCTACTGCCTGTAGTTAAAATGCTTGTCTGTGTTACCCATGTAGCTGCTGTTGCCTTTAACATGTTGATGTGGTGCCAAACCGATTTTCATTTACTGGTCTCCCTTTCTCCACCAGTGAAGCACCTGTTACGTTACCATTTTGTCTGGTAGATAGCAACCCAGGAGAAAACCAGGCTGCCACTGGCTCAAGAATGCATGACTGGTTTATGCCCTATCATTAGGAGACAGGTCATCTTCAACGCTGAGTCACTAAGCATGCTATGATCTGTGGGTGGGTACATCTTCTCATTATGGCACCCAGGTCCAGCTGCTGGGAAAACAGGTGCCCATGAACTAAATGTCACTGTTCCAATAAAACTTGTCCAATGGAGGTGGTCTATCAAATTGGGGAAATGCATTTTAGCATGGAGACCTTGACTCTGGAACACACTTCTGGGAAAAGGCTGTCAGTGAGCTGAACTCAGATCTGGTTCCTTTGTCTGAACTTTCTATCAACTGCCCCTACACTCCTGCAACCTCACATTTTACCTTCTCTTCCTGTACAACGTGAAGCTAATCTATACGCAATAGAAGAGAGAAAATGCTCTTTTTGAATGCTAGAAAGCATTCAGGTTCAATTGTAAGTTCTCAGATCAAAACAAAAATTAAGCACCACAGTTCTAAGAAAACACTGCTTTGTTTTGATTTGTATGTTTTTTTTCTTCTGTCCCACTTCTGCTGCTTCTCCTTAGATGTTTTCAGCACGCTGGATGTGACAGCCTTGGGAGTACTTCAGTAGGGATGACATCAGTGTTGCTGCCAATGGAGCTGCACTGCCTGCCTTTTTTGCTTAGGAGTGAAGTTTTTATTCATTGTGCATTCAGAGATCTCAGGAGCTTTTGAGGGGATTTGTGATGAAACATCACCTTTTTTCCCCCTAAAGACTGCAGAGGAAACATCTGTGCCATTTGGCATGTAATACTTCCTGATCATGAAGAGGAACGTTGTGGGGATATCTGGCATCTGTCGTAGCGTTGAGCACTACTGGCTACAAGTACAGGTGTGGGATGGCAGGGATGCCTGCTCCCTACAGGCAGGAAGAACAACTTGTTCTTTCCAGCGTGTGACAGGGAGCCCAGAGAGAGACCTTTTAAACAAGGAAGAAGAGCTTAATAAAAGGCCAAGAAACTGTGAGCAGATGCAAAGAGAGCTGTGTGGCATCGACTGCTAGGTGTGGGCGGGTAGAAGTCATCATTCGTTACCTGCACTGAGGGAGGTGTCGTTTGTTCAGGCAAGCAGATGAGCTCTTGAGAGACACTGAGTGCAATTAGATTAATTTTGTGGAACGATGTTGGTGTGTGGATTTTTACTGCTTGCCTTTCCTAACACTTCTGCTCTGCTGCTCTTTCAGCTGGATAGCATCGCTGGTGATTGGGTTGCCCTCCCTCCGCTGCCGTCAGCCAGGTGTCTCTTCGGGCTGGGGGAGTCAGACAACAAGATCTATGTGATTGCAGGCAAGGACCTTCGCACCGAGGAGTCTCTAGATTCAGTATTGTGCTATGATCCTGAGTATGTTTAAAATTTAATTACGCCTACTGAGGACGTGTAAATATTCCATTGTTAGTTGAAAGAGCCTAACAGTGATATTCTTCTTCCAGGGCAATGAAATGGGGTGAGATCAAAAAACTACCCATCAAAGTATATGGCCATGCTACTATCTCAAACAATGGCTTGATATATTGTCTCGGCGGAAAAACTGACGATAAGTGAGTCTAAGTCTCTTCATATTATTTGGTTGGTCCTTTATAGATTATATGTCCTCACACTCAGAAATCAGAGTTTCCCTTTTTCACATCTCTGGATTAAGGATGCTAACAGTTTGGCAGAGGGGAACACGTTGTGGTATCTAGGATATCTTTTTCAGGATAAGGTAAAATTGTATATAAATCATAATCTCAGCTAGTTATTTTAATGACTGTACTTATTTCCAAGGCAAATTTTACTTGCACTGCAGACACATTAGTAAGGTATAGCTGTGAGGACCCTCACTGAAAGTATTATTTCCTTCTAGATAGAAATACTTGAGTGCCATGGAGTTACTGTGTCAGTTTTTCAAATTTTCTGACCTGTGGTGCTTGTTACACCTCAATGGGTATAACATTAGAACAATCAAAGTTGTCACTCGCACTGAGTATGTGGTGGAGGTAATCTTTCAGTGTCCGTATAGGAGACATTTAAGACACAAGTTTGTCAACTCAGCCAAAACAGCAGCATAATCTTTCTTTTATAACCTCTGTCATGCGTTCCTCCACAACCCCATCTGAACAGAATATGCTAGGAAGGGGTGTTGTCTTTCTCCTGTAAGGTACAATGAAATAGCTGCCCTGTGTACACAGCATTTAACATTTGATTTAGTTCTATGGATGTGATCAGTGCTTTGCAAACATGCAAAGATTCCCAGATTAGATGCAGAAAGGATCTCATGGAAAGGAAAGGTGTTGTACATAAACCCACACAATCCATCTCAACTAAGTCTCACTTGGAACATGCCAAAAATTCATTACAGATTATCACAGTTTTCTCTTTGCTCCCCAGGAAATGCACTAATAGACTGTTTGTATACAATCCCAAGAAAGGAGACTGGAGAGACCTGGCTCCAATGAAAGTGGCTCGCTCGATGTTTGGAACGGCTATCCATAAGGGCAAGATTGTCATTGCAGGTGGTGTCACTGAAGAAGGCCTCACTGCATCTGTTGAAGCTTTTGACCTGACCACCAATAAGTAAGTGCAATATTCAAACTATTTTTAAGCAAGTGTTTTATCATCTAGGCTTTTAGGAGCTCTGAGATGAGAGTCACAGAGGTGTTCGGGTGCCTGTACTCCCACTGAGAGTACTACCACTACATTCACATCTTTAGCAACAACAGCGACCGCAGCTTAAAGAGCCCAAATCTCTGGCCATTTTTCCTGCCCCCACACAGTTTCTGTGCTAGCATAGCTACATTGCACACATATCAAAGAGCTCGTGTAGCAAAAATAACCCACGCCCTGATTCTGTTGGGTTTTTTTAAGTCTGATTACTTTCCCAGTTCAGTTGGCCACACAGCCACTTTAACAGGTGTGCTGGCATAAGAGGGGAGAAGGGGGAGAGATGGGCAAGGGCCACATCATCCAGTGCACTGCCACTGAACATGAAACCCCAGCAAGAGAAATCAGGTGCTTGAACAGGACTACCTGAATGTCCTTTGGGTACCTGGCCTTGTGATGTCTTCTTCTTCACTTGCCTTGTCACAGCAAATCTGGTTTACCACTAGTTAGTGACGACAGATAATTCTGATTGTTCATTTAATATGGAAACTCCATGAAGACTTTCCATTTTAAGTGCATGCTCTGAAATACTATAAAGTAATTACAAAAGTCATACCTGGAAATAGCTCTCTTATTTGGTCTAGATACTTCTCAGTGTTCTTGACAGACAGAATCTTTTGCAGTCAGCATCCCTCAAATGTTCATGATTTTCCAGTTTATACCCTCTGCATCTGTGTCTTTCTACTCTTAATTTTCTTTTGTTACTTTTGTTACTTTTAGTTCCTATCGTCTTATTTACAAACTTTAATTTAAAGTAGTATCAGTAAAGCTTTATTATAATAGCTCAAACTTGTAAGTGGTCTCGTATGCACCTTTATTTTATTAATAAGCACTTGTGTTGTATATAAACATATTTGGCTGTACTGTTTTCACTGACAGGTGGCATTGCAGCCATCAACCTGCAACAAAAGCTTTAACCTAAATAAATGTATGCTATCCCAAACAGACTTGCTTTTAAACTTTAACAATACAAAATGTGAACTATGCAAGAAGTAATGCTATGAGGAAACTTTGGACTCTACACCTATAGAAAGCAAAGGAAAGAAGAGATCATGCTGTTACTGTGTTTGGCTTATCCTTCTCCTATATTGTTCAGAAACACTTGCAGCTTGTGTCTGAAAAATCTGCAGGTTCTTGTCTTGGTCTACTCTGTTTCGTTAAAGTCAAGTCACACAAGCAAGAGAGACAAATGAGCTTGTTGGTTTTGATGCTGACATTATCCACAAGTGAGATGTCTGTATGTTTTACATGTTCACAGGTGTGAACTGGCAGAAAATTTGATATTATGTTAATAAGCACCAGTGATCTATTTTTTTTAATTTACTCAAATTATGACATCCATGCCACTTGAAATTAATATAAGAACTATAGGGAAAAAAAGAGAGTAGCTGGGGAACGATACCTCTATATAAAGCATATTCCTGACGATAGGACCAGGCAACCTGTAAGAAGTGGTCTCTGGGAAGAGATGTCCTCATGGTGTAACTCCATCACTTCAGATTTGCAGGAAGTCCCTGTGGGGACAGAGACACTGAAACTCACTGCTGACAAATCTCAGAAGATTATTTTTTCCTTTTACTGAACCATTAACTCAAGTTGTCCTTGGTGCCTGAATTGATGTCACCCAGAGGTGTATTTTAGTGCATTCAGTTTACGGTATGTCTCATCTGTTTGTTTAACTTAGATTTTTCTTTTGATCTTTAGATGGGAAGTTATGCCCGAATTTCCCCAAGAGAGAAGCTCCATCAGTTTAGTCACCTTAGGTGGAGCTTTGTATGCGATTGGAGGCTTTGCAATGATTCAGCTCGAATCTAAGGAATTTGCACCCAGTGAAGTCACTGACATATGGAAGTAAGTTTAATTTTAATCACATTTTCCTGGTGGAAAGCCTTATCAAAATTAAGGTTTGTAGACACTGGAGGGTAGAATTAGTTTTCTGTTTAACCCTGAAAATGAACCATGGCACACAGGCTGTAAAACACTTGTTAACAGAAATATGTCAGAAACTAACAAACAAACATGAGACCTGGATTTAATGACTACTTCCACCTACTAATAAATTGAACAGTCTGAGTCACGATCTTCAGATTCTTTTACTCTTCAAAAGCGTAAGCTGCAGTATCTCTTGGCTGGTTTAGTCCAAGCGTACCATAAAAACATTGCTTTGTGACACCCTCATGCAGAATGCAGAAAAGCCTGTGTACAGAGTACAAATATTCATATGCTAATAGTTTGTACAAATATTCATGTGTTAATGGTCAAATGAGTTATTTATCCAAGAGAACAAAAAATCCCCATCTCCTAGATTTTCTTTAAAACACAGTAGTAGTGATGAAACGTCCCATCTCTGCTGGGACCCTTCAGTTACCCAGGTAAATTCAGTTTTAACTGGGAGAAGAAAAAACACCTTTATATGTAAGAAGCTGAAGTAATTCCAGAGGAATTCTTAAGACAAGGAGGAAGCTTTTATAGGAGTAATTAAAGTATTACACAGGCCAGCAACAAGCTTTAGGGACCAGAACTCGCAGGTACAAGAACATCTTTCTGTCCTGGAGGACAAAAGCAGCCTTTTGTGGCATCCTTCAGCACATGGTTGCTAGAGGCCTTTGCAGCATGTGGACTATCCTCCTTTTTAGGTATATGTGAAGAAGCATCAAGCTCAAATTGTAAGAAGCTGTATTCTGACCTTATTTTATTAAACGCAGGTATGATGATGAAAAGAAGGAATGGATTGGCATACTGAAAGAGATCCGATATGCTACTGGAGCCTCCTGCCTGGCTACACGCTTGAACCTCTTCAAGTTATCAAAACTGTAAACAAAATGCTGGAAAATGTGGTACGATGAGGGAGTATCAAGAAGCTCTTCAAGTTTTGTTGCATGAAAATGTCCCCAGATTGTACAGAGTTCTGTAGCAGCATACTAGTTACACTGCCAACTGTTACACAGTTCATCTGTCTGCCCAACTCTTAAGATATTTACTACATAACTAACAACAATGTGATTTTAAACACTGGCAAAAATTCAAAGACTTCTAATTAACACTGATTAGCATAAATGCATATTTCAGAGAGAACTCAGTTTTTTACTCTGTAAAATTGCCAATGAAACTAGTCAGACTTCCTTTCACTCAGACAATCCAGGACATTGGTGGCTTATCCTCCAAACAATGCCCATGAATTAACTGTTCAATTAAATACAACTAGTAGGTAGCTAAGTTTATTCTAACTGGCTGTTTGCACAGCCTCATTTCCCCCTTCAGCAGTGTATCTAAATCCTGCGTTCTTCAGACGTATCTTGAAAATATTTTTGTTAGAGTCTGCTAAAAGTAATTTAGCCTGGAACTGAAGTGCATATTGAGAACAAGTGTGGCCTAGGACTGTGTGGCCTAAGAAGTGCCAACCTCAGCCAAAGCTGGACTAGTAGCCAGACAAGAGGAAAGACACAGAAGTCCACAAGGTTAATAGCTCTAGTGTTTCACCTGGTATGTTTAGGCTTCTGGTAACAAGGATTTTCCACTTTTTTATGCTTTTATATTTATTTCCAAAGCAATTATTTCACAGAAGTTTTTCTCAGAGATCTGAGGCTGTTAACAAGCATTTGTGAAAAAGTCCTAAAAGAATTGATAATCAGTAAATACCTACGGCAGAGAGGACTTTTCCATCTACTAAAGAATTGCTGCATTTTGATGTTGAAACTTGTAACAATTAAACTTTGTTTCTAAAACCATGAAACTATCACTTGATGGTGTGTCTCTTTTAGATTCAGCTCGTCGTGACTATCGTATAGTCAGGACACAGATTTCTTCGTACAGCTTTTGCCCAAAACAGAGCACTGAGTTTTCTTAAAGTAGAGCATGCCCACCCTTTTTATAGAGAATATCTTCAAAGTATTTCTCCATTGAATAAAGAGGGTGTAATAAATCTAAACCTAATTACAGCTGATGCAGCAGGTAAACTGGAAAAGCAGCCCACCACGCCTGACTGAATAGCAATTCCAACTACCAACTGCTCCCTTGCATTGCCTTCCTAGCAGACAGATGCAAACATGGCAAAGGCACAGCCATCAGAGCTCCTTTCAGTGTGGTACTGTACACAGCTACTTAATCTGTGAGACATCTTTTGGTTTTCCCTTTAGTACCCAAATCTGCAGCTGTTCTTAGCATCTTTTCATTGGCTCCAGTTAAATCACTGGTTTATACCAGCCCACCTGCTCTAACACTTGATTTAATTTAGAAAGAATGACTGCAAAGGATCAAAAGCACTATATTTTACTGAAATACTCTTATATTTTGCTTAAGATGCCCTTTCTGAATCCACTTACAGCAAGTTTTAATCCTCTTCCCATTGTGAATACTCGTAACTTCATCCATACATACCGTGAAGACACCTGGTTTGGCACAGTGACTGCTGGATACCTGAAAAGCTCAACCAACCACCCACGATGAATCACTTCAGCTACAGTCACTGCCACCTTTCTCATGCTCCGAGGTTGCCACTTGAAGGCCATCTATACAGAAGCAGGGTCAGGCAAGAGCCCTGCTTTGCAGCCCATCTTCTGAGATCCTAACCTGTATTTATGATTGTATTCTGTTTTATACAAAATACAATGCTCATATAGTCTTTCTATGGGCTGTGCCTTCGACAACATTTCCTCAAAGCACTCATCTTCTATGTCTTGGGGCCCTTGTCCACTTGATCCCGTAAGCAGACAACCATCTACTAGGCTTTTCCAGTCATCCCACAAACGTGAGGCCTGCCTCAGAAGGAAAGCACCTTGCAGCTTAGATCAGTTCTATCAGTTTTTCCTGGCTTTTCATTAGTGTCCTGATTTGTATTCAGTAAATATATTTTCTTCTACTACCAAGTAGAAAAGCCACATGCATAATGATCAATTCAGAAATGCAGCTGCTTACCTCTGCCAGGTTTCAAAGGAAGCGGTAAAAACAATGTCTATTGCTTCTACTAAAAAAGGCAAGAAAACACATACATACTGTGTGAAAGACGGGCACAGCTAGCAGTCGTCGTGACGTAATGGCAGCCATAGTCACACTGTGGCTGCCTCTGAAAATAGGCTGATGGCAGAAGTACGACCACTCCACAGTCACTGCTCTACAGTGAACATCCCACTGGCTGTTCCACTTCTTCCCTCTGCATCTCAGCATCTTGCATCTGCTGACACAAACCCTGGCTGAGTGTGGTCACAGGAAGCCTGGTAACTGACAGATGGTTTTGAAACATAAATAAACCAGAGATGTTCTTCACCACCAGTAACTAAGGTGGTTGTCACTCTGAAGACTTTTCTTGGTTTTGATTCTTGGTTTCAATTTGCAGCCTAATTTTCCTCTTTTGTATACTATCTTATTTACAGAATAGGCAGCTTAGATTGTTTGTCTGTTTTATTTCTATTAGCAAGGGCTAATCAATGCATAATGCCATATTAGTGAATTTCATTAATTATCCGTTATTGCTGCTAAGTGCCTGTGTCTGACATAAGCATTATTTTATCTTTATTTTGTATAAACCCTTCAGGTACACATTCCAAGTTCCATTGACTGGAATACAGGTGTTTCAAGGGTCTGGGTGGCTGCCAGACCTCTAGAACCAGTTTATCTTTTAAGAATGTAAAGGTGTTCCAGAAGGCTCCAGCCACACTTCTGCACACCACATCACAGGGTAGGAGAAGCAGCTGGTGGTTCCGTACCGCACAACACCCTCCCCCGACACAGTCACCCACAGTACCTCTGTTCTGGAAGACGGAAACAGAATGGTTGTAATAGCAGGCCTATTCTTAGTAAATCTGCATTTCAGTTTCTTGGTTTCACAGTACAGATACTTTCTGATCCCTATTGCTCATTCTATCACATGCTGCAGGACAGATATAGTCTCCAATAGATCTGCTGTCTCCTCTCTCACAGTCAAGAGTATTTGGACAGTTTTGTGTCTGGCTAAGCCTCTGTGCTATTTATTTAGGAGATAATATTGTAGTTTTATGGCAAAACTCTCACAGACATTTGTACTTGAAGAGTAGCTTCCAGATAATGGCAGATTATAAGAATCCTTATCACATCTTCACGGCCCACTGTGACCTGCCTTTTGCAATCCCTAACAAACTGTCGATTAAATCTCTCTTGACAACTGATGCCCCGTGGCAAGCATTGGTCCAGTTGACTCACAGATAAAGAGATTTTTGAAACAAAGTATTCCAGGATTACGAGAAGTTTAATGGCACATCAAGTGTTGCTATAAAAAGTACTTTTGACTGCATGTCTGGTCTCACTGTATTCCATACAGACGCTTTCTCAGGTACTCCAGCTGTGCATCTTTTGTTGACAGAACCATGGAATTCCATTCAAAGTGAGGAATCTGTAGAACAGAATCACACAGTGTTAACATTGGTGTAAGCCACATCCCATCTTACAGCAAAGAAAAGGCCCTTTGATAGCTATTGTTCTCCACTTGAAGATATTTTATCACCTGTGTCCTTCCAAAAGCCAGGCTTATTCCAATACTGAAAAGATTAATTTCTCAATGTAAGATTCTTCATGTAGGTACAGTCAGTTTGCCTCCAAAAAGCAGCAGAGTTGCAGAGATGTAAAGCAGATGCCCACACAATACAGGCTATGACAACTCCATTACACTACCTCCCACCTTCTGAAACCCAAATCAAGAGAATAATCCCAGGTCACTATAGCTTGTAATGTTAATGTATCAGACTGGAATGGATTATCAGTAGCCTAACATTTACTGTCAGGGCAATATAAGAAAGGATGATTATCCCGTTTTAAAAATAAGAAATAGAAAAAACAACAAAAAACCACACAAAAACAAAAAACCCAAACTTCAGCTTTAAGATGGATTCCAGCTAAAATTAGAGTAGGTGAGTAATTATACATACAGGAGAATCTGCATTCATGAGCTTCCATTTCCCAAATGTTTCTACGCTGGTGGCTGTGAATTATCTCTGGCCACCAGTCTTCCCTGCCACAGCACTATCACTGCAGCAGGCAGACAGCATCCATAGCCCATCTTGCAGCTGCCCTAAGTGTCTCTAACACTCGAGAAGGGTACATTGAAACTTGTTCTAGTGTAAAAATCTTTGGTGAATTGAACGCAGATTCTCATTTAATTTTCAGTCAGGCTACATTGTGATTGCAAGTTTGCCTGCAGCAAGGTAAGACTGAGATCTTTCGACTTCAGTTTTGCCACAGCCACTTTCAGAGAAGGTTCAAGTTCTATGGAGTCCTTACACCATCTTGAGAACAGCTTGGAATTTCCCTTCCTAAAACAAAAAATTGCTCTCACCTAGTTTTATTAGTTAAAAGAACATACTATCTTTAAATCTGCTGCAAGAAAAGCATATCAATCTGCACTATCAGTGCAACCAAGAAAGGACATAAAATACTGCTCACCTGAACTACCTGGTACCCCAGCATTTCCAAGTGTCGTTTTCTCACTGCAGGTTCTCCTTTCAGGTGACGTGAATCTTTGCTAAAAGCTTTTGAATCAAGAAATTCCAAGGCAATTCTGCAAACAACAAAAACCAGCATTTAATTTCAGGTCTTACCTGAATAGCAAGAAGTGGTATTTCTAGTCCACTATTGATAGTTGCAGCAAGACTATTACTAGATAAACCTGACAGTTCATACGAAAAGAAAATTAAACAACTTCCTGAAGCAAGACAAAACATTTTCCTCATATTTATCCAGGGATACTTGAACTTCACATGATTTAGAAAAAACATTTCCTTCCTGCACCTGTTTTTGCTCAAGTGGCAAAAACAGCTAACCAGCATTTGCAAGGCTTACAGTTGAAGAAGTGGGAGGAAAACAATA